GGGTGTGCATTTATGGAGGTAATTTTATTAAGAGTTCTATGTACTTGGGACCAAGCTTGACCGTGCATTTAAAGAGAAAAAACATAGTAGATGCATTTATAGAGGGTGCATTTAGAGAGGTCACTCTGTATATTTGACAAGGTAATATAATTTAGCAAAATATAATTTAGCAATATATATTTGACAAAATAATATAATTTATTAAAGCAATATAATTTATTAAAACAATATAATTTGTCAAAGTAATATAATTCAGCAAAGTCAAAATATATATTGTATATATATTTGGTGCAAAAAATAAATTATTCATTTTACTGTTGAAATATTAATTTTTTTAAAATAAGATTTAAAAAAAAGTATATCATTTATATGCTGAATAAATTATACATCACTTTATAGCCAAAAATAAAAGTTATATAAATTTGATTAGTCAAATTATATATTTTTTTGATAAATGATTGATAAGTGATATTATGTTAAATAAATCAATTTCAACTAGTATGAAGGATTAAAAGTTGTATCTCACTTGATCTATAGGTTTCTAAATTTGATAGTATATGTCAACTATAGAAATAACTCTTGGAGTATTTACTAGGAAGTATAAAAAGTAAAACTACAAATACTGTGAAAAATTGGAGCTGGTTGTGAGAAAGTGATAAAAATCCTAGTGATGATTAATAAACAAAAAATACTCTTTAAATAGATCATGCCTGATATACAAATCCATCTTTACAATGTAAGTTGGTATACAGATTAGAAAAAAGAGGCAGTATTAAGGTTAAGGTAGCTAGAATAAGTTAGTTAGACCTTTTATGTAACAATTGTAATTTCAATGCTAAGTTAATAAAAGTTTATATGTAATATACTTTGCCTTTACTATAATTAGTATTAGTACAATAATATAATTTTAAATCAAAAAAATTACTATATATATATATGTATATATATCTTTTTTTTTTAAAGAACTGGTGATCCTTATATATTATTTTTATTATAAATTTTAGACTTACAAATACAATATTTACAAACTATAACATAGTATACATTTCTCTTTACTAGTAAGAGTTTAATACAAGGTTCAACAATTGTGACCTATCTATTTGAGCTTTTTAGCATTACTAAAAATATAGAAAAAGAAAATTTAAAATCTATATTATATCTTGAATAACATCTAGTTATCTAAAGAATTTGATTATCTAATCATATAAAGATACTACAGCTATTATATACAGATTAACTTTCAAGTTATAACTAGAATTGGTACACTTGTTTTTCAACTGTAACTTGATATATAACAAATGTGACAAAAGTTGATTTCAAGCTATGCTAAATCCAAATAAAGCTAGTCTTTCACTATTTATACTTAATATTAATCTTTTATTCAAATCCATTATTAGAACTAAAAGCTGAAAAATGTTAATTATATTTATTATCAAGGTAACCCTTTGACAATACTAATTTTTCACTATTGTTATCTAGTATAAATTCCATTTTGAAATTCATCACTAGAATTGTAAACTGAGGGTAACAATTAATTTTATTGTCAAAATAGCTTTGAAGGGTATATTTTGGTTTTGGAGTAAGCTGAAATTAGAAAGTATAAAGGAAATTTGAATGTAAAGTAGTAATTTGTTAAAGAGAATATCAGATATATAATGGATTAAAGTTTCTTAAAGGTACTAATACTTAATCTTATATAATAAACCTATATTATTGAAAGAATAAGCAAAAAAATTTTATTGTCATCATTAATTTATATTATAGAGATAACTAAAATCCTTGATCTTCATATATTATTTTATTAAATTCTTCAATTATCAGCATAACACCTGCAAACTAATCTAGCTTATTGTTAACTGTATTGATATTGGTTGCTATATATTTTTGGATACTATAAGATACAATTTCTTGAATACTTTTAGATAATAATAATTATATATCAGTTTCTTAGATGTATCTAGTTTAATCATTAACAAATAAATAATATTGAATTTGATAATAATGATTATGTCAATCTTTTGAAGAAGGTAAGCCATTTATTTTTTTTCTATAAGGCCATGAAAGAAAAAAAAATTCTGAAACCTATGTTTTGAGAAAAATTATTATTTCTAAATATGATCTTTAAAAAAAAGAAGTTAACTAACTAGAGTAATGTTATGGAGAATAAAGTTTATAGAAAAAAGAGAGGCCTAAAAAGAAAATCTTCAAGAAAAAGGGAAAACCTAACTTTGGCAAAAAAAAAAAAAAGAGAAAAGAAAGAGATGGAGTATATAAAAGAGTATATAGAAGAGAAGAGAAAAAATAGAAGAGAGGAAATAAAGAGGTATGAAAGAGAGAAAGTAAAGAAAAAGGAAAAAGAGGAATGTGAAAAAAAGTAAACAACTCAAAAATTTTCTAAAAAGGAAATTTTCAAGTGTAGAAGGGGGAGTGGAAAAAAGTTTTTTAATTGTTTTTTTCTTCTAATATAAATTTTATGCTTGTTAACAAATAAAATAAATTAAATAAATAAATATAAATATATATGATTTAATAAATCGATCAATTAAATTGAATCTGATATTGATTAAAAATGTTCTCTAGAATTAAGAAATTTAAGAAACAAATTATTGTTCAACTAGATTTTAATAAGTAATTATTATGATAAAACCGAGTACATGTTTGGTATCGATATACTGTCAATTTGTCCACCCAGTGTATGTACATATGTACTTTGTACAGTCATGCGGAATACACACATCTATTAATGGTTATATCACATGAACGCACTGCTTAACTCTTTCTTCCGTTAATTCTTTATCCGCGCATCTCAATAATTTTCTATAAGGATAACGTGAATCATTATGAATATCAAGGTCAAGGTAACTTGAAACTTTGATCCTTATGATCAAGAAAGTCGAATTTTATAATGCAAGCTTAATGTCCTTATCTGACAGTTTCTCAACACTGAAAAAACTTTTTTATCTCATACATAGACACTCACTGGTAAAGAGGTGAGTGTTCCAAGAACAATCCTATGGTTTCATTTGTTGGATAAATAATATATCTGTTTATATTGGATTGTTTAGATTGAAATTAATATTGAAGAGGCAGACACGGTATATATTTGAATATTATTACTATAATGTAGACTCTCAGCGGATTGTTAATTTTCGGTTTTTAGGTAGGGAGAATAAAAGAACGTGTAGAAGAAAAAGAAGGCATTCCGCCTGCCCAACAACGTTTAATTCACGGTGGAAAACAATTGTACGTTAGAAACATGTTATTTGTAATGGGTCTGATGATATTTTACCCAGCTATAATTGTTCGATCAAGAATTTACAAGATTTCCTTTTTTTTATCAAATAAATCAGGACCGACGAAAAAACTGTTCAAGAATCTGGTATAAAAGGTGGAGCAGTTCTTCATCTTGTGTTGGCTCTTCGCGGTGGTCTTTGCTGAAAGTAGTTCGCCTTCTTTGATTAAGTTTACTATGGCCGTTAACTAGTTAATAATTGGCTCGTCTAAGTTTGACACGTTTGACTAGTTAAGAATAATGGGTTAATAATTATCGTATCTCATATTAGTGACTCGAAACAAAGATTCTTCAATAGAAAATATACAATGAAATAATCTTAGATTTGAATAAATAAATCTATTTCATCGTGTTATAAGTCATGTGATGTTGATCTATTAATTTTTTTGACTGATTTCATTAACCAATCACCGGAAGAAATCTAATTTTCGAGATCTTCAAGCCTGCATTGTTCGACTCATTACTTTTACGTCTTTACTCGAAGTGATGCTTAAGTCTTGTTTGAAGCTTGTCGGTTCGGTATATACAATGGAAATTAATATGTTATCTATATGGAATTTTTACAAATTGTTCTTTCACATTAAATAATTACCACGTAGATCTCGACCCCGTCCTCGATTAGAGCTTTTCATGCTTCACGAACACTCTCCAGGGTAATTGCAACACAGCCTTTGAGAGCAAAGGAGGTACCTATGAGGCTTATTTTATAAAGTTTGATGACAATATCATATTAAGAAGCTGACAGTCATCTCGTACCAAAAATTGTCGTTTTTTTTAATTAGTCGTCGGTTTCAGCAAAGTACCCAGTAATTGATCACACATACGATGCTATCGTAGTGGGTGCTGGCGGTGCCGGTTTACGCGCTGCTTTTGGTCTTGCGGAGGCTGGTTTGAATACTGCGTGTATTACAAAATTATTTCCCACAAGATCGCATACGGTGGCTGCACAAGTAAGAAAACATTTCGAGCTCAGAATTTAATAAATTTCCCATTTTCTTCGACTCCTTACTATAAATACGTTAGGGTGGTATCAATGCAGCGCTAGGCAACATGACTGAAGATGATTGGCGTTGGCATATGTATGACACTGTCAAGGGTAGCGACTGGCTTGGAGATCAAGATGCAATACATTATATGTGTCGCGAGGCACCTAATGCTGTCATTGAACTTGAAAACTATGGTGTTCCTTTCTCGCGAACTGAAGAGGGTAAAATTTACCAAAGAGCTTTTGGTGGCCAGAGTTTAAAGTATGGACAAGGTTTGTGAAATTATATTAATAATGCGATGTATCGTTTTTTTTCTTACTTTAAATTATTCTTTCCTTAGGCGGTCAGGCGTATCGATGCGCAGCGGTAGCCGATCGCACTGGTCACTCGATATTACATACATTATACGGTCGATCTCTGAAACATGATACCAACTTTTTCATTGAATACTTTGCTCTTGATCTTTTAATGGAAGACGGCGTGTGTCGAGGTGTCATAGCTATAAATATGGAAGATGGCACCTTACATCGATTTCGATCTCACAAAACAGTGTTAGCCACTGGTGGTTATGGGCGCACGTATTTCTCATGCACCAGTGCACATACATGTACAGGTGATGGAAATGCAATGGTTGCCCGTGCCGGATTGCCTTTACAAGATATGGAATTCGTTCAATTTCATCCTACTGGAATTTACGGAGCTGGTTGTCTTATCACCGAAGGTATGTTATTATTATTTTTTTTTAATGCTAAGAGCGAGGTGAAATTCAATTATCATCGCATTCAGGATCCAGAGGAGAAGGTGGTTATCTTCTCAATTCCGAAGGTGAACGTTTTATGGAACGGTATGCTCCCACGGCAAAAGATTTAGCGTCAAGAGATGTCGTTTCACGTTCAATGACAATTGAAATTCGCGAAGGTCGTGGAGTAGGTCCCGAACGTGATCACATATACTTGCAACTTTCTCATTTGCCTGCTGAAGTTCTACATGAACGTTTGCCTGGTATATCCGAAACTGCTGCTATCTTTGCTGGAGTTGACGTCACCAAAGAACCAATTCCAGTACTGCCAACAGTTCACTATAATATGGGTGGTATACCAACGCGTTATACGGGTGAAGTAATAATGGTTGACGAGGTAAGCTAATGAATTATGCACCTTCTATTTATTCCCTATACTAAAATTGATGTTGGTTTGCAGAGTGGTAATGACAAGGTTGTCCCTGGACTTTATGCAGCTGGAGAAGCTGCTTGTGTATCTGTCCACGGTGCTAACCGTCTTGGTGCCAATTCTTTACTTGATATTGTCGTTTTTGGCCGAGCCTGTGCTCATCATATTCGCGATACCTTGGAACCGGGAACACCTCATAAGGAGCTCCCTTCAGATGCAGGATCAAAGTCCATTGCAAATCTTGACAAACTTCGTAACGCTGATGGTTCAAAAACTACTGCCGATATTCGACTAAATATGCAAAAGGCAATGCAAAAAGATGCCGCGGTCTTTCGAACAAAAGAATCCTTGGAAAATGGTATCACATTAAGAGTGATGATATAATAACAAAAATTTAATGATTTTCCATTTATCTAAAAATCCATTATTTCCTTTAAGGTGTTGTAAACATCGATTCAATCTGGAAAACTTTCAAAGATGTTAAAGTTTCTGATCGTTCTATGATTTGGAATTCTGACTTAATCGAGACCTTGGAGCTTCAAAACCTTTTAACCAATGCTGCTCAAACAATGCATTCTGCAGCAGCTCGTAAAGAATCTCGTGGAGCCCACGCAAGAGAAGATTACAAGGTATGTGAGCTGTAGTTTGTGAATGTGTTTCAAGCAAAAAACTTCAAAAAATTTTTTTCATCAACGCGCGTAGGAACGTCTGGACGACGAATGGATGAAACATACATTATCCTGGCAAGATCAAGAAACAGGTCAGGTTAAGCTAAGCTATAGATCGGTGACTCATAAGACTCTCGATGAAAAAGAGTGTGCTAGCGTGTGTATTTTTTTTTTCTTTTTTTTAAAAAAAAAAATCTTTTTTGTGCGAAACTAAGACTTTAATAACGGTTGTTGACGCTTATTTTATAGGTTCCTCCCAAGGCTAGAGTTTATTAGTAGTAGAATGGTTTTCAAATACTATCATCAACACTCAAAAACTTATTTATTTAAATGATACATATCTAGGGACTCGTTTGATTTGGTTTCTTGTTATGTAAAAATGAGCGTAAGGTTCACCAGAGCGCGTGATAGAACAGTGTTTTTATCTTTTGTTCATTAATCATTCAAAACTTATTAAACTCAACTTCAAATGTAATCACAAAAAGTAGCAAAAAATAAAATTATACCTGAAAACGGTTCATATTAGTAATCGTTCGATCTGCGATTTAATCGCCTGAATTTGAGGTCTAAGTTCTGATGCTTCGTTGCTAATGATTGAAGCAGCTATGACTGCGCGAGAAACACCACAAGCACGACCCAAGGCGGTTTTAGAAGGAATAAAGACGTAAGGCACATTCTAATGGGACGTGAAGTTAAATGTTAAAAATCCTGAAATATACAAGTGATCCAACGTAAATTAATTGTACCTTATCTTCACATAATAATGGCAAATGCAATACTATTTCAATTGGTTCCGTATCAGCCGTCATCACGATAAATTCAGAAATTCCGCGATTAAGCGTTTTAGTGGCTAGACAGAATAAATGTTTTTATAAGTAAAAATTTAGATGCATGGATAAGATTAAACGAAATCTCTGTTGCTTGAGTTAATAATCAATGCTGACCTTCGTTAGCTCCTTTTTTTAATTGTTTATAATGTAAAGCTTGTTGAACGAGATCAAGTATTTGATTGGTCAAATCAGCATTAGCCAAGGGAAAGGCTTTAGGATTCATTTCTTTGGAGGCCTATAACAAACTCCAAATCAAGAGGTTTACAAATCATCAAGAATAAATTCACGAAAGAAAAATGACACGTACCATCGTGAAAATCGTGGAATCGTGAATGATGCATCGAGGTTGGTTTATAAAAAAAAATAATTTGTACCACGATTGAAATCACGTGATAAAGGAACTCTATAAAAGAGTCGAAAGATGCAAAAATCTCAATTTATCAGGAAAAAAATGCGTTTAGAAAAATGTTACTTCTGCTCTTCCACAATATACCCCGGCCACGGGACGACGTTTGTGAGGAATGATAGCAAGGTATGAAAAAAAATATTTCCTAGGCCCATTGTATATTCATGGCTTTTCTTTTTTAAAAAATAAATTTCTTTATAGATATTTCGTTTTTGCAGGAGCAAATGTCATGCTGCTTTTAAACATAAACGAAATCCCCGTAAAGTGCGTTGGACAAAAGCATTCCGAAAAGCCGCTGGAAAAGAGATGACCATTGTATGTTATAGCTGATCTATTACGCTTTGTTTTTTCGCTAATTTCTTAACTATAATATTTGCCACAGGATTCTACTTTCGAGTTCGAAAAACGTCGTAATGTCCCTGTACGTTATGATCGTGAAAATGTGATAACCACGATTAAAGCTATGAAACGAGTATCGGAAATTAGAGCCAAACGCGAAAGAGTCTTTTATAAAAACAGGTTATAAGAAAAAAACCTTTTTTCTATAGGCACTTTTCTTAACAACATTACTAATCATTGCATATCTTCCTATAGAATGTCTAGTAACAAAGAACGTGAAAGAGCCGAGAATATACGTGAAATTCAACGTCACATTGAACTTGCTGAAACTCCTTCAGTCAAAATTAAATCACAAGCTGCGAAGGTTGCTGAGAAAACGCAACAACATATCGATATGGATATCTCATAATTATAGATTGTTGTAATTTAATTTAGAGTTCAAAGTCTGTTCTGGCAAGTTTTTAAGATAACTGAGTGATCAAGATATTTTGCACCAAAATATCATAAATATATAATTATTGAAAACAGATTTATTATCAAACTTAAAAGGGTTTAAATCTCATTCTTTAAAAAACACCTTTAAATCAATTATATATAATTAGGCTATCTAATAAATTTCTAGGCGTACAGTTACCACAGAAATTAGTGTCCGATTAAAATTACAATGGGTGACAAATAATAATAATTTTTTTTTTATTTTAATAAAATTGTATTATTAAAAAAATTTTTTATTATAAAATTAGATATTATTTTACTTATATTTTTATATTTTTATTTATATTAATGTCAGATATTAAAAAATTTATTTTGTTTATTAAATCTTTAAAGAAAACAAATAATATATCATATATAATATTCAATGTTTTAAAATAGCTTTTTTATTAAAAAAAATCAAACTTTAAAAATATTTTTTATAAGAGTCATATAAATAACATAATAAAAAGAATATGACACCTATTAATGAAAACTTTATTAATAATATTGATTCATCAGGAAAATTTTTTGCAAAAAAAACTTGAGATTTCCATTTTTAAAAAAATTTTTGCAAATTTCCAGAATAATATTTTGAAGATTTTTAAAAACTTCGAAAAATTTAATAACAAAATAATTTAAAGATTTTTGAAGTCATAAAATAAAACAGACTTTCAATATTTTACAAAAATTGAGTTAATTTATTTTTTAAATAAATATAAAAAATATGTAAAACAAAATTTTATTTTTAAGTTAGATCAAAAATTTTATGGACTTTTTTGAAAATTAGGAAAAAAAATATTTGTAAAAATATTAATTTTTAAAAAATTTCTAATTTTCACAATATTCCAGAAGTTTTTTATTTTAAGTAAATTAGAGTAAAATTTTGTTCCACACTTTTTATTAAATACTCAAGCATAAATCGAATTAATTTTTTGTAAATTTTTAAATTACTTCAAATATTTTTGAAGTTTTATTATTTTGAATTATATATATTATTTAAAATTCTTTAAAGATTATTATTTTTATTATAACATTTTGAATTTTGTAATATTTAAAGTTTTTAAAATTTTATATTATATAGTATTATAAAATTCTTTAAAAAAAATTTATTAATTAAATTTATTTTTTTTATCAAAACAAGATATTATATAAACAATATTATAAATTGCTTCTATATTTACTATATTATATATTTTGATTAATTGAATATATACGTATTGTCATATATCGTTTCTACCTCAGGAGAAAGATAAAGACGGAGAACTAGTAGCAGGGAGGCACTTTAGATGGAC